ATTCCTGCACTGACTGAGGTCACCGTGAAGGACTCTCCTTCTCAACCACTCTCCTCACCAGAGGTGTGGTAACCTCAGGTTAACACCTCTACCAGTTGCCTGTCTAATGAGAGAGCATTACATGGGTGGCTCAGAGCACCAGGGACCCGGGTTCGATCCCAGCCTTGGGCGACTGTCTGTGTGATGTTTGCACATTCTCCCTGTGTCTGCATGGGTTTCCTCCGGGTGCTCTGATTTCCTCCCACAGTCCAAAAGATTCCATTCACCTCCTAATCTTCCCAACCCCCTCACTCCCTTCCAAACCCCTCACTCACTCCCATTCATCTCCCAACCCCTTTACTCCCGTTCTCCTCCCAGCACCCTCGCTCCCTCGCAACTCCCTCACTCTCTCTCATTCTCCTACCAAGAGCCTCACCACCTCTCATTCCTCTCCCAAACCCCCCAACACTCTCACTCTCTCATTCATCTTCTAACTCCCTCACTCCCTCCCATTACCATTCCCCTCCTAACCCCCTCACTCACTCACATTCAACTCCCAACTCCCTCACTCCTTCCCATTTCCCTTCCAACTCCCTCACTCCCTCCCACTGGACATTTTCCTCTTAATCTCCTTACTGGTTCGTGCTCACCAGCTCACTCACCGCCCCCTTTACTCCTCATGAGGGCTCAGGAGTGGGGTTATGTGTGGGAGTGGGTGCATGACATGCTGAAAGAGGTGGCTGGGATGGAGTAAGAAGTCTGGAGTCAGAGTGAACAGGATGAAATGAAGTGATCGGAAGAGGACATGAGTGGGACAAAGTGAGTGGGTTGGGGGAGGAGGTGAGTCTGAGTGAATGAGGGGGTCAAGAGAGTCAGTGAGCAACAGGTAAGGAACCTCAACAAGATGGAGGGAATGACAGAGTGAGTGGGAGGGAGTCACATAGCGACTAGGAGGGAGTGAGGAGGTGAGGAGAGTCAATGACTGGGAGCGAATGAGGAGAAAAATGGAGGCACTGAGGGGCTGTGGAGAGGTAGGGAATGGGGTGAGTGAGAGAGTGAGGAGATGGAGGGAGTGGGGGAGTGAGGGAGAGAGGAGTGGGAGGGATTAGTGGGTGAGGAGTGGGAGTGTGAGGAGGTGATGAGAGGGAGGGAGTGAGGGGGTGAGGAGAGGGAGGGAATGGGGGTGGGTGAGGGCATGAGGAGAGGGAGGAGTGGGGGATAGTGAGGGGGTGAAGAGTGAGAGGTAGTGCAAGGGAGTGAGGGGTGAGTAGAGAGAGGAAGGGGGAAGGAGAGAGTGAGCAGCAGGTGAGGAGAGGGAGGGAGTGAGGAGGTAAAACGAGGAGGGGGGGGGGGGGGTGAGGGGGAGAGGGGGAGGGGAGGGAGGGATTGGATTAGGTCTCTAATTTGAAACAAAGCAGGAAGTGCAGGAGAAACTGACGGCATCTGTGGAGGGCAGAAACAGAATTAACATTTCATGTGCAATGTGATACCTCTTCAGAACAATAATTTATAAACTATGCTAAAGCAGAATGTGCTCTTCCAGTGCGCAGTGTGACATGCGTAAACACTTCATAGAGGGCGAGACTTTCTGAATAGTTTTATGAAGTTACTTCTAATTCCACAGAGCTGTTAAAACAGCAAACAGGTCACCTGCTCTGTTAAGTTCTGAAACAGCTTCAGGGATTTCAGATGGAAAATAACTCAACTGTGCCACCCCATGGTGTAAATTCAGTACGAACAAGAGACCATTTGAAATACGAAGCCAGAACATTAAAACATCTTTCTGCCACACTGGGTCTAACAGCTCCAACTAAACAGCTCCAAATCACACCAAAAGATCCATAATAATTGTGGGAATGGACAAAACATTGATTATTGGGAAATACAGCGTTGGGTGGCAATTATTTTACTCTCCAAATCTCGACACTGTGAGAGGTCACTTGAAACAAAGAGCGTTCAGCTGGTAAAGGATTGAAGAGCCTCTAACTTTCACCATTTCTGTCTGCAATCATCGCTGGCCAGCTGTCTCTCACACTGCTCCCTCAATGGAAAGAACAAACCTCCGTAATGATTATCAGAACCTTACACAAGGTCCATGCATCTAAGCAATTAATTTTCTTTCTTTGAAAGTATTCTCACTGTTATAATTGAGGTGCACAGTGCAATCCCACTGACAGCAAAGTGAACCTGTCTGGGTTAGTCAATGAGAGGGTCAAACGCTCTCTGTTGCATGGCATCATGACATCCTTCATGATGTAGCAAGTAGGTGCTTGTCAAAAATCCTCTGATTTGGCTTTGTATTTGCTTCGTTGACATCCCATGCCCAGGAACACTGGACCAAAGGATGTGTGTCAGCTTACATAGTCAACTGACTATTTGACATTGGTGGGCTTCCCCACATTCTATGGGCATCTGCAAAACACATACAGTTCTGATGAGCAGCCATCAGTTTGAAAACTGGGGTCATTTCACATACCCACCCCCTCCCAACACCACCTCTCCTATCCTTCCTCCAGCCCCACCACCCGCCTCTATTTATTTCTGGGATCCTCTCCCCCTCCTCAGACCTGATGAAGGGTTTCGGCCCAAAACGTTGACGTTCCTGCTCCTCTGATGCTGTCTGACCCGCTGTGCTTTTCCAGCCTCACACCTATAGACTCTGACTTCCAGCACCTGCAGTAATTATTGTCTTTCTCCCAGAAACGAGTGGAGTTGGGTACAGGTTTGGTGCTAATGGTTAAAATGGTAAAAGTCTCAAAAAGCTGCTTACCCCCAGTTTCAAAGAAGGCAGGAGGAGTAAAGAGAAAACAGTCCTCTCTCATGAGATGGGCCAGTCAATGTTATTAGAAACTCTAAAATTCTAAACTCTAAAAGTCTGCAGAGGAAGCGATGGCCTAGTGGTGTTATCATGAGGCTATAAATCCTGAGACGCAGGTAATGTTCTGGGAACCCAGGTTCAACCCCATCATGGCAGATGGTGGCTATATAAATTCAATTCACAAAAAGCTGGAATTACAAGTCTATGACAACCATGAAATCATTGTTGATTGTTGGGTAAAACCCATCTGGTTCACTAATGTCCTTTAGGGAAGGAAACTGCCATCCTTACCTGGTCTGGTCTCTATGTGACTCCAGGCCCACAGCAATGTGGTTGACTCTTAACTGCCCTCTGGGCATTTCAAGACAAGCAATAAATGTTCACCTAGCCAGTGATGCCCACATCCCATAGATGAATGTCAAAAAAAAATCTATTTTCGAAAGGTTTTTATTTTTGACTCTCATTGGCCTAGTTCTGAGAAGATGATATTAGGCCTTCCTGTTGGAGAGCTGCGACATAGCTGAGGTGGTCAGGTAGAGTTGAGGGTTGACCACTGTGACCCAGCTGAATCTACCCCTCCATTGTCCCTACTGTGTGTTCTGATTGGGAATCAGACCCAGTCACTGAGTGCAAATACCCTCCCTCAGTACCTCAACAAGTCTGGAACTGAGCCATTCCAGGTCCGGACTGACCCAGGGTTTGAACCTCAGCCTGTGCTGAGTAACTTAGCCATCGCTTTCGGCAACTGTCCAACCTTTAGAAAAGGCATCCCGATCATTCTTGAGAGAGAATATTCTCCTCCTTGGCCCACAAGCTGTGCCATAAAGGCACTTACCCAAGGGACTGTGCCCATCTCTCACCTTCTTTTCCTGAGAACTGGAAAACCACGCCAAACATGAGTTAAAAAAAAGAAATCTCATCACATTGCTGTTTGTCGGAGCATACCGGGGACAAATTGGCAACACCTACAGGAAATACTTAATGGAAAGGGGTTACGGAAATGCAAATCTTTCTATCTTCCATTCTTTCTTTCTCTCTTTCTTTCTGTCTTTCCTTGTTTCCTTATTGATTGCTTTCACAATGTGCTACATTCCCAAAACAACCAATTGGATTGTAAAGGGGAAGGGGGTCATAGGTGAAGAATGGTATCAACTCAGGCTCCCCCCACCGACAGTCAACACCTTCAGCAGAGGAAGAGGAGAAGGTGAAGGAGAAAGTGAAAGTGAAAGGGAAGGAGAAGGAGAAGGAGATGGAGATTACAAAGGGCTTTTGACAGCCTGAATCCGAGAATCCATGATAAGATCTTTGGCAAAGAAACAGCTGTAGGGAAGGTAATGGGACTGAATTGACTCAGTGAGTTGTAATGAACTGGATGGGATTCAATGCTGGGGGGTGCTCATTCACTTTCAACTTTGAAAAGGAAATTCCCATTACAAAAGGGCAACTCGGAGGTTGGGGGTGGTGTCAGAGGTGGGTTAAGGGGGAGGGGGCAACATGGTGGCTCAGTGGTTAGCCTCACAGCGCCAAGGACCCAGGTTCATTAACAGCTTTGGATGACTGCCTCTGTGGAGTTTGCACATTCTCCCTGTTTCTGTGCGGATCTCGTCCCACAGTCCAAAGATGTGCAGGTTAGGGTAGGTTGGCCATGGGAAATACAGGATTACGGGGACAGGGTAGGGTAATGTGGGGCATGTCTGGGCGAGGGATGCCCTTTGGAGGGTTGGTGCAGACTTGATGGGCCGAACAGCCTGTTTCTGCACTAACAAGGTGTAGAGCTGGATGAACACAGCAGGCCAAGCAGCATCAGAGGAGCGGGAAGGCTGACGTTTCCGCACTGTAGGGATTCTATGATCCCCGAGAGGAATAATTGTACAAATCGTTCAGAGGGCTGGCACAGACTTGATAGACTGAATGGTCTCTGTCTGTGGTGTGCGTCAGCTCAGAGAGAAAAAAAACAAAGCTGAACTGAACAACAAGAACGAAAAGCCGCTGGCTATTTTTAAACGCAGTACCTGGGCTCTGTGAAAGGTGTGGGGAAAGCGAGGATTTGAGCAGTGGTGATGTCATTGAATTGCTGCAGAACAGCCCAATCATTCTGCCGGGAGGGCTGAGCTCAGAGAAACCAGGCAGACTGGATTGGCCTGTCGCTGCTTGCACTGATTCATAAAAAGGTTCATAAAAGGCAGCTGAGAGCGATAATCCTGCAGAGTGCTCGAGGTGGCTGAACACAAGAGAGCTTCCTGATCACATCAGGAATTAGATCAAGGTGTACCAGAGAGGGCAGGATGACCACGTTAAGGAGGAAGTTGGTGGTGGTTGGTGACGGTGGCTGTGGTAAGACCAGCCTGTTGTTTGTTCTGTGCAAAGACGAGTTCCCCGAAGACTACGTCCCTACAGTATTTGAGACCTACGTGGCAGATATAGAAGTTAACCAGAAGTTGGTGGAGCTGGCGCTGTGGGACACGGCCGGTCAGGAGGACTATGACCGCCTACGGCCCCTGTCCTACCCCGACACCAACGTCATCCTCATCTGCTTCTCCGTGGACAACCCCGACTCGCTGAGGAACATTCCGGACAAGTGGATGCCCGAGGTCAGGCACTTCTGCCCCAGTGTGCCAGTGGTACTGGTGGGTAACAAGAAGGACCTGAGGAGTGACCAGCGAGTGTGGAAGGAGCTGGCCCGGAGCAAGAAGGAGCCTATCCGGTGGGAAGAGGGCCAGGCCGTGGCTGAGAGGATCGGGGCCTACCGTTACCTGGAATGCTCAGCCAAGACCAAGGAAGGCGTCTGGGAGGTGTTTGAAACCGCCACCAGGGCCACCTTGAAAGCCTCGAGGATGGGATGTTTCAGCTGCCGGTGCTCCCTGCTGTAAAGGCGTGTGGAAGCAGGACTGAGAAACAGAACTTGCGTTTATGGAAGGCAACTTAGTCTCACAAGAGAAAGAAACGCCCAAAATATCAGGGAAATGGAAAGATGCATCAGGCCATGGATGTCCTTGTGGAACCTATTCTGGAGAATCAACGTGATCTATAACACAATGGACTGTTCGCTAAAAAAGAGAATTTGACTTTGGGAAACTCTCCAGATTGTGTGTTTATGTGTGTTTATGTGTGGGAGTGTGTGTGTGTGTGTGTGCCTTCATCAAACTGAGGAATTTAAACACTCCTTGTTTTAAAAAGAGGTGTAAGTTGAGCCCTTATTCCTCTACAGGGTGAAACTGCTTTATAGTGCATGTCTGAACTGTTAACCTTCCTCAATCCTGGGGCAGAAATGTGTTACAGAAATAGATCAAATCAGGGATTATCTCTCCCAGATTAGATCGCATTGTTAGTGGAGGGTTGGCAAGGGAGGTGAGGGTTCGGGGGTGTGCAGTGTAGGAGGATGTTGGTAAATCAGGATTTAGTGTAATCCTCTGAGATGGCTCTTGTTTTCTGGGGTTCAGCCTTCTGTATCCACATGCACAGTTTCTTGTCAGCTAATCTCCTAAAATGTGATGTGCTTGTTTGCAGAGTGTTCTGAGTTAGGTCATTATGAATAAGGGGAGGATTGTCAATCTAGCAACCGGTGTGAATGGAAATTCCCTGTGGGAGGAAAATAAATTTTCAGCTTGTTACCAAAGGTGATCGCTGTGAGAGAGAGAGAAAGAGTCAAAAAATTATTGTGTGTGTGTATGTGTGTGTAGATGAAGCTATATTTTTGTGTAAATGAAGGTGAAATTATAACTTTTTCAGTGTGAACATTAAACTACATTTGTGTGTGCGTGAAGGCGAAATTATACTTTTTGTGCATGAAGGTGAAATGACTTTTTTTGTACGTGTGATGGTGAAATTATATTTTCATGCGTGTGTGAAGGCAAAGTGATATTTTTGTGTGTGTGTGTGCCTTAGTGCATGAGGGTCAGATTACATTTATTGATAGGGGCCCCAAGATAATGGGAAGAGTAATTTTGTTAGCGAGATGCAAGTAGATGGTGGCACACATCCACTAGGTGAATGTTTAAATTTCAAATTGCCCAGATGGAACTTGTTTGCAATTATCTGAGCTATTAATCCCTCCTTCCTTCCCTTACCTGCAGCTCAGTCAGTGACAGAGTGGAATTGAGTTGCCTTGACTTGTAAGATTTGGGTGAACAGGCAGTAAACCACCCAACATTGATGTGAGACTGACCCCTATCCTTGCTGCAGCATTGAGTCATGGATTTTGGAAGAGGAGGTGACGAAGTTGGTGGGTGGAAAGGGATATTTGGATATAGGAGAGAGGATATATGAGAGACTTTTCAGCATATTGGATGAAGATAATGTGTAAAACAGGGCTCAAATACCAGGCAAGTCCAGGTTGACTATTTATGAGATTTACTTGAAGTCTGATTTTACCATTTATGGAAACATTTAGGTTGGATTTTTTGATTGATGTTGTGGCATTAATAGTCGAATGTAAAATGATTACCACACAGAAAATCTAAGATCTAAAATTTCAAACGATAGCATTGAAAATAATTCAGCGTTGTGCTGATAGAGTAAGGTTTCCACCCCATGAATCTGTTTGGATCAACATTTCTGCCTTAAGGCTGAACAATGATATTTTCTGAGATGAATTTTATTGTTTTGTTTTGCCAGCTCTTGATAATTAAGTCTACCACCTGTTAGAGGATCCGCATCTGTCACTGTTAAACTTTCATTCTTACACCACAGAGGTAAGAATGGTTAAAGTTGGTTAAAAATTACCTCTACCTCTAAATGCAAATTGTAAATGGTGTGGTAAAGGAAAGCTCTTGTATTTATCAAGGGTCTTTATTGTATCCCGTAGGATGTTCTGAGAACTTCCCACACAATGAATTGCTTTCAATTTATGAAACATCAAGGCACACAGGTTCACATGGTTTCAACTTCAGTCCTTTATAATTCTGTCTTGCACCTATGAATCTAAAATAACTGATAGCAATGCAGCTTGGCCAACTGTCCTTTTAACGGATTACCCCTTGTTTTGAACACTTGCCCACCGCACCTTCTTTTGAGACATTTTTATTTTTGTCCCATATTTCTAGGATAGCTCGTGGGAGCTGAGCTTGTGAGTTGAAGGGTTTGAGCAGGACTGTGCGCATCCCAAAAGGAGATGATAACATTGAGATTCTGCAGGTTAAATTGTAGTTATGTGTGACTTAACATTTCCTTGCCCCCACTATCCAACTGTTCTGGCCCCCCCACCACCCTTCCTGGTCCTGTGGTAGGATTGGGATTTTATTAAGAATTGGCCAGTCAGCTGCAATCCCTAATGTGAAACTCTAATTCTGACAGGACAAATAAGCCTCCCACAGTCAAATAGTCTGCAGACTCTCCACAACGAGTAATGATGGCACATCATTAAAAAATGTACTTTATTGTATGTGAAACATTTTGAGATGTCCAAGGGATGCAAAAGGCACTATATAAATACAAACTCTCTTCAATTCAAACAACACAGTGATATTTACGTGGTGTTGGTACTGTGGAGTGTCTGGAACCTATGGGACTAAATCTCATATACTGGGGACAGCAACTCTGTGAACAAACGCTGCCATATTCTGGTACAGATGCTTCAAGAATATTTATTTCAACGTATCATTTAAAATTTTATTTGCTTTAAAAATTGTGTAAACAGCTGATTTTTTTTCTCTCTCTGTTAATACTGAATGTAAAAGACCAAACTGAATGTCCTTCAAAGGTGCCGAAAACGAATATAAAGACTTTGTTGCAATCTTTTCTATTCAGAGTCATTGTTAACACCCCATTTGTGTTTTGTTTTTTTTTAATACGATGTAATAAATGTGAAAATAGCAACATTATTTAAAGTCTAGTGTGATATGGTACCAGTGTAAATCACTTCCATATATAGAGGGTTGCTAAAAGATAAAGGATGTAACTTTCTCACAGTAGTTCTGCGAGCTACTGAGAGGCAATTTGCAATAAGATGGACAATTAGCCCCTGCATCTCTGAGCTCACTTTTTAAATTACTATCCACTGAGCGTCATCGTGCATGTCTGGAGATTGAGTTGGAACTTTCATTTTGAAGCTCCCTTATGCTGGAAGTGTATAAAACACTAGTTAGATCGCAGCTAGAGTACTGTGTGCAGTTGGAATCTACTTTATAGGAGGGATGCGATTGCACTGGAGAGGGTGCAGAAGAAGATTTACCGGGATGTTGCCTGGTTGGAAAACTTTAGTTATGAAGAAGAACTGGACAGGCTAGGGTTGTTTTACTCCGAGCAAAGGAAACTGAGGGGGTGGGGGGGCATGACAAAGGTGTATAAAATTATAGGGGATTACAGGCATAAAGGAAGACACCTCTCCCTTTGGTGGGCCTGGGGGTATAGATTTAAGGCAGTAGGCAGCAAGTTTGAGAGGAGGTGAGGAACTTTCTTTTTTTCACCTCAAGGATGATGGGAATGTGGAGCTCACTGCCTGTCTGGGTGGTAGAGGAAAAAGCCTCTTGACATTTCAGAAGTATTTCCTTTAGGGAAGAAAAATGCCATCCTTACCTGGTCTGGCCAACACGCGACTCCAGACCGGCAGCAATGTGGTTGACTCTGAACTGCCCGCTGGGCAATTAGGGATGGGCTATAAATGCTGCCCAGTCAGTGACGCCCTCATCTCGTGAATGAATTAAACAGAAAAGGTGTACACTAGCGATGCCAAGACACACAAGGCAATGGGCCAAGTGTTGGAAAATAGAATGAGAATAATCAGGTGGTTGCTTTTGAGCGTTACAGACTTGGTGGGCTGAAAAGCCATTTTCTGTGCTTGAAGGCATCCATGACTCTGGAGTTGCATGTAGAAAAGGTCAAGATGGAGGACTCCACCAGCATGAGACAACGAGCAAAGTGACCATGAGATCAATAAAAGTATTGATGAATCACTTCCAAGCATCAAGACTTGGGAAGTCTTGGAGCAGGGGCAAGGTACCATAGAACAGCATGCACTACTGAGGCTGACATGAAGGGGCTAAAGATTTTGGATAATGGGGAACAGATCAAAAACAGAGACAAGGAGGAATTACTTCTCTCAAGGTCATAAGTCTTTGAAATTCACTATCCCAGAGAGTGGTGGATGTTGGAACATTAAGTAAATTTAAAGAGGACATAAACGGATTAATTATTAACGGTTTGAAGAGTCGAGGAGAACAAGTGAGGAAAATGGAGTTGAGGCCGAAATGAGATCAGCCATGATTGTAGTAAATGACGGAGCAGGCTCAAGGGACTGAGTTGTTCTTGCGTTCCCAGGTTGGAGCATCAAAGGTAAGACTAAGGAGATTTGGTTCAATTTGGAACAGGAAAGGTGGGCCATGTGGGGTGGGGTTTGTATCCATATTCCAAAGAATCCAGTCCCCGGTGCAGGCATGCCATTGGTATTGGTGGCAGTCTGCAGGCTGGTGGGGAGGTGGGGGGAATGAAGCTGGAAAGACAGCCAGCTGTGAGTCCACCCTCCGAAATCAAAGTTGACACGAAGGTGATGAATTAGCCATTGTGGTGACCCCAATGTAACATGGGAAAATCTGGAAGAGGAAGGAAAAGAGATCAAGAAGATTTTAAACCTTTTTAGGTTTCCCAGACTGATTCCTGGGATGGCAGGACTGGTATACGAAGAGAGTCCGGATCGGTCAGGACAATATTCATTGGACTTCAAAAGAATGACAGGGAGGATCTCAAAGAAATCTATAAAATTCTAACAGGACTAGACAGGGTCAATGCAAGAAGGATGTTCCTGGTGACAGGGGAGTCCAGAACTAGGTGTCACAGTCTAAGGTACAATGTAGGTAATTTAGGATGAGATGTGGAGAAATTTCTTCACCCAGAAAATAGTGAGCTTGTGGAATTCTCTGCCACAGAATACGTTGGGCCAAAGCATTGAATATTTTCAAGAAGGAGTCAGATATAATGCTTATGGCTAAAAGGATCAAAGGGTACTGGGGAGAAAGTGAGAACAAGGAACTGAGTTGGATGATCAGCCGTGATCCTATTATACAGCAGAGCAGTCTCAAAAGGCAGAATGGCTTATTTCTGCTCCAATTTTCTATGTTTCTAACCTTACCCCTGGGCAGAACAGGGGCTGGAGGTGGGTTGGGGAGGGGGGTATGTGGGGGAGGTGGAGGACGTTGACAAGAGGGCACTGACTGGATTCTGAGCCGTATCTTCACTCTGTAGAGACACAGTTTCCAGCATTAATCACACCTGCAAATATTGTAAGTTCCCCGCAGCCTGCTCGTTGACCGCTTGTTGGTTGAAAGCCGGGGAGGTTTGTTGATGAATGTGATTGAATAGGTTAGTACCGTGGTTTGTGAAGGTAACGTACCAGTGATAAAAGACCTGGATACTTTACCAGTTACATCAGCTAAAGGAGTTGCCAATCCCAATTTCTCACAGCTACTGGAGGATTACAACATAAAGCAAGAATGTAATTGACTATATATCGATCCAGAAGACGATCCCCAGTTTATCCTTCCCTCTCATTCTCTCCCAGCATCTTTGCCCAGATTTGATCCCACTAATGTCAGTTACCTCCCTCTCTTCCTTGCTTCCCCAAAATCCCTCTCCACTAACTTACTGAAATGGCTATTCTTCCACATTGAATTTTGTCTGACACCTACATTTTGTTTTCAACTAACCTGTCCAAGGAGGTCACTATACATCTCTGGGGAAGGTGGGACTTGAATCCAGACCTCCTGGCTCAGAGGTAGGGACACTACCACTGCACCACAAGAGCATTTGGATCATTTTGCAGTATGGGAGCGTATTAAATACAAGATGCTGTCAAAGAAGATTAACATGTGGCCACTAAGGGTAGAGCACAACTAGCATTTGTGGAACTGTGCTCACTTTGAAGAACAACCATAAGATCACCATTTAAGAGAATGCTACCTGGAAGCTAAGGTTTCAATTACAAGGTGTAATAACACAAACACAAGCTATTTATGGCACAGGTGGAGAGAACCTGTTTCCACTGGTTGAGGAGCCTAAGACTAGAGGCTTAAAAATTACAGTCACACATTGTGTCTCCCAATTTCAGTCACAGGGAAGGAAAATCTTTAATCTGCCTTCCACAACTCTGCCTCATATTGCAATGAGGGTCCAAGGTGAAACTTCCTCAACGAATCTTGGCCTCTTACTTCCACACTAGTTCATCTTGTATTCTCTCATCTCTATCAACTTCTTTTCCATTTTGATCTAATCTCTCCATCTTCCCTGGTTGGTGCCACCTGTCCCTTTCCCTCAGCAAGTAATCGTATAGTGTCCCTGAGCACAACTGAATAAAACGGCGTGAGAAACAAAACAAATTAAACATGAGAGCAAGTCAGGATTTATGATGTAAATTTGTTGCATCCTTTGTTGGAATATATGGCTCAGGTTGGCTCTGAAGAAGAGTCTTTGGACGGGAAACCGCTAACTCCGTTTCAGTAGTTGACAGACCAGTTGAGTCCCATGTTTTCGGATCTCCAGTGACCAGAGTGTACTTTGCTTTTATTTTGGTTAAAACCTGCGTGGGATACGGTGCCAGCAGGGACATAGTGTAGGTAAGACCGCAGGATTCTCTGTGATGCAGACAAAGTTTTCCTTCCATAAGCCTGGTGGGGAGCAGCACAGTGGCTCAGTGGTTAGTACTGCTGCCTCACAGCACTAGGGGCCCAGGTTCAATTCCCCCTCAGGCAACTGTCTGTGTGGAGTTTGCACATTCTCCCCGCGTCTGCGTGGGTTTTCTCCGGGTGCTCCAGTTTCCTCCCACAGTCCAAAGATGTGCAGGTTAGGTGAATTGGCCATGCTAAATTGCCCATGGTGTTCAGGGATGTGTAGATTGGTTGGGTTTGGGGAATGGGCCTGGGTGGGATGCAGTGAAGATCAGTGTGGACTTGTTGGGCTAAAGGGCCTGTTTCCACACCGTAGGGACTCTATGAAAAAAAAATGGAAAGTTAAAATTTGCAGTAAACTTGAGTCAATTTAGAACAATGTTTCTTTTCTTCAGCTGCAGATTATTTCTGATTTTCTGGACTGGTTTCCCACCTTGCAGTCTCTGTAAACTATAGCTCATGCACAACATCCATATATGCTCCCTTATATTGGCCCTTGGTCCAACAATACGTGAACTTTAAAATCACATCCTTACTCACATTTCCTCAATAGCTTCACCTCTCCTCAGTTCTGTAAACTCCTCTGGGCCTATGATGTCTGCAGTCTCTGCACCTTCCCTAATTCTGATCCCTCGTTCATCCTTGCTTTTAATTATTCTGCCATTGGTAGTTGTGGTTTGGCCTGGATCATAAACTCTGGGATTTCTTTTCTAAACCCTGTCCACTATTCCTCCCAATCCCCACATTCCCATTCCAGAGAGATGTTCCTTAAACTTTTGACTCACATTTGGTTACCAGCTCAAAGAATCCTTGGGTGGTTCAGCATCAAAAGTTGCCTAATTACACTTCCTTAGGGCCGTAGGAACAGAAGTGGGCCATTCAGCTGCTTGAGCCTGTTCCACCATTGACTGAGATCATGGCTGCCCTGTGGCCTAACTATATATACCTGCCTTTGGCCCTTTGCTACCTTTGCTTAACAAAAATGTGTCTATCTCAGATTTAAAATTTGGCTAAGTACACAAATAAGGAAGGAGGGATATGGGCCAAGTGCAGGCAGATGGGACTAGTTTAGTTTGGGAACATGGTTGGCATGGACTGTTGGGCCTAAGGGTCTGTTTCTGTGCTGTATGACTCTATGACTCCATAAGTTCAAGTATGGACCAAGAAGTGGAATGGTGTGATGAGATTGAGGGGCTTCTCTTCAGTCATCACAGACATAATGAGCC